GAAAACTTACAGTTCTGGTGGAGAAACACGGAGTTGTCCAGGAGAAAATATGAAGTTCCTGTGGAGAAACATTGGATTTCTCTACGAAAAGCATCAAGTTCTGCTCGAATAAGTTCGATTTACTCTGAAAAAAAGTTTAGTGTATTGTGAAGAAACACCGAGTTTTCCAGTAGGAAACAGGAAATTCTTGTGAACAAACACCGAGTGGTCCAGGAGAAAAGATGAAGTTGGTGTTAGGAAACATTCGAGCAGAACTTGATACTTTTTCCTACAGAGATACGATAAGGTCCATTTATCCCGGAAAAAAGTTGAGTGTTTTGTGGAGAAACACCGGGTTGTTCAGGGGAAAACAGGAAGTTCTTGTGAACAAACACCGAGTGGTCCAGGAGAAAAGATGAAGTTGTTGTTAGGAAACATCGTATCTCTGTAGGAAAATCTATCAAGTTCTCCTCGAGTAAGCTCGATTTACCCCGGAAAAAACTTGAGTTTATTGTGAAGAAACACCGGGTTTTCCAGGAGAAAAGATGAAGTTCTTGTGAAGGAACATCGGATTTCTCTAGGAAAAAGTATCAAGTTCTCCTCGAGTGAGCTCCATTTACCCCGGAAGAAACTTGAGTTTGTTTTGAAAAAACACCGATTGTCCAGTAGAAAATATGAAGTTACGGTATGCCAGTGCAGTGCTTGTACATATTTAGTCGATTTATATACATTTTGCATCAGACGAAAAAGTGGAAGGATGAATTGACTCATCCATTGAAGATGAATCGATTACTTTTGAGTAAGAAATATGGCACTCGCAGTGCTATATTTCTTACTTGAATCTATTTTGTTCACTGCACCATTTCCAGAATGGATTAGTCTCATTGAAAGAGTTTTTGATAATGCACATAAGATAATGACTATTTGTCGGCTCGGAAAGAGAAAAAATCTTTTCAGCCTTGTCTGGATGCTTTGAAATTATTTAATGCGGAGATTTGGCAGCAATATTTTATTCTTATGATACTCTTTCACACTTATAAATATTTGATTTGTTTACATTTATTCAACAGCTGAAAATCGATCTGCTGCATCACCGTGTCCGACAATGACAAGAAATGTTGAGGCATCAATTGCTGTAAGAAAGTTTTTTGTAAAAGCTTTTTTGATCAATCGGCATAAATTACTATTTTTATTACAATCAGTTTAGTCTAAACCTTCATTGTTAGCATTTTCTGTCATCTGTCGGTATTAGAATTTACAAGTAGCGTGTCTCAAAATTAGATCAACACCGTTTAGACAGAGCGAACCAATGACTCATTGTGTTGTTATATATAAACAATGCAAAGACGCGCGTTCAGTTCCTTTCAATTGATACCGTCTTTCCCGGAAGTTGACTCAGTAACCTTTGTTAGTCTTCGTCTATTTGATATATTTCTGATAACTCTATTATTTTATAATGGAATTCTTCACCTACTGATTTCGTGAAATTAGTTCAAGAAAAAATAAAAGAAAGAGCATTAGCTCAAAATTCAACAAGGCGATATAGCTGAAACAGCAAAAAATTCAACAGCATTATGTGTAACATTGAAAGTTGTACCATCAACATGTGAAATTCATTTTGATAAAGTAATGCATAATAATTCAGTAGAATTAGAAATTTTCTACATGTATAGCAAAATAATTTGTAAATTTTGATTAAATGAAACTGAGCTATGATCATCTGTATATTTGATGATAATATTTCATGTTATACAAGAAACGAACAGAACAAGCGAAGAGATGAGAGAGGAGAGTGTGTTTACTTTTTTATTATATTTTGAATAAATGAGGCATGTTTTATAATAATAATTAATTGTATATTAATAGCATAATAAGAAATTCTAGAAATGCGTCCTTTTTTATTTGTTTTTGTGTGTTTTGTGTCACAGTAGTCGTTTCATTGGTGATTATGTTGCTAAGAATGATTATTTTTGTTGGAAAATTATATACGGTGTAAGAAATGCAAAAAAACAGCAACAAATTTTTTCATATTTTTGATGTCGTTGGATAGAGCTTATCAAACTGGTTAAGTAGAAACTACTCTTAAAGAAAATATTTTTTCTTTGTGCCTGCCTACAGCAGTTAGGAAAACAGCTGATTCAAACTGAAGGAGAAAAAATAGTGTCACACTATTTTTAACTAGCAGTCTACGTAGCTACAGAAAGACTCTTTTTGTAGCTACGTATATTATGACCGAAGCAAAAGAATTAATCTATATAGTAGAACGAAAAAAGTAATATTATATAAAATGGATACGTTTTGTTCATGCAAACAAAAATTTGCCTTGTCCTTGTACAATTTCTTCTAAAAGTCCTTGAAAACTCTCATTATCAAGGCTGGTTCAAGGGAATCCAGGAGGAGTTCTTCCTTTCCACGAGTAGAGTAGAAAGAACAGTTCGAACTAACCAAATGCACACTATTCACTCAGCATTTTGGTAAGAACTAAAAAGTAGCAAGAGAAGTTCAAAAGTGTAAATTACACCATTACTTCCTTTACGGGCTATTGAAAAAAATTATCTGAATCCTCAACAAACCAAAAAATTATATCTTATGTGCATTATCAAAAACTCTTTCATTGAGACTAATCGACTCATCTTCAATGGTTGAGTCAATTCGTCCTTCCACTTTTTCGTCTCATGCAAAATATAAATAAATTGACTATAGGATGACTCGTCAGAAAGATAAGTCGATACACCCCGTGAACTTTTCACTGGAGAATCATCGAAAAATTTTTCCTTTGAGACGAATCGATTCATCCTGTAACACTTTTTTTCCGAACAATATAATGATCGGGAAAATATTTTCAGTAGGATGAGCCGATTCATCCTTCGAGGATGAGTCAACTCATCCGTCTTCCGTCGATCTTAGATCGCGTTGACAAGTCTCAATAATCGTTCACCGTACGGCTTCCTGCAACACGATGAGTGGTCTTAGTGTTCCGTAGCGACATCTTTTGGTTTTTCAGAATCCAAATATCATGTAGTGCGCAGATTGATGTTTTTCGAAGAAGTATATCATAAAAATCTAATTAATTTTTGAAAATAATTGTTTTTTCGAGAAAGTAACTCTAGCCAATCAACAAATTTAAGTCCTAATAAGTTAAGCAAAAATTTTTAAGTGTTTTATCCTGCACCCGATACGACGTAGATAGCACTTCTATTCGATCGCAACAGTAAAAAGTTTTTCGTGTCTTAAAGTGTGTTTGTTAGCAAAAAAAGTGATATTCTTGGCCGTTGTTTGACAAATGGACAAGTAGAAACATGTTATACTAATATTTCGAATTTAATTCCTGTAAAAGGTAGAACGTATAGGTTTCGTTGGTAAACTATTTGAATTAATAAAGACATGATCCGATCAGGCACAGCTAGTCTAGATGAAAGAATGTCTGTCAACGTTTTTTTAAATAATATAAAATCTGTTATGGTGTCTGTGAAATGTTCCACATATTTTTGAAGCAAAACATTTGTTTATTAATATAACTTAAGGAAATAGAAAAGTTTGCGCAACTATTCCGAGAATCCAAGTTAAAATTCTACTGAGCTTTTAAAACTATTAGTATTTAGAATAATACAAATATGCTCTGCATCAATCGAATTGGATTATCTTGCGATTACTTTCCTGGTTGGTTGTTGAGCACTCAGATAATTTTTTTCATAGCCCGTAAAGGAAGTAATGGTGTAATTTACACTTTTGAACTTCTCTTGCTACTTTTTAGTTCTTACCTGAGAAGTTATTATAGCTTCTAGTTATTACCGCTGAGTGAATAGTGTGCATATGGTTAGTTCGAACTGTTCTTTCTACTCTACTCGTGGAAAGGAAGAACTCCTCCTGGATTCCCTTGAACCAGCCTTGATAATAAGAGTTTTCAAGGACTTTTAGGAGATATTTAACTGGAGTTAATTGTGAACACACTATAAACGAATTTTTTCTAGATATGTAATAAAAAAATGGTGTTTCCATCAGCGTCTTCTACCGTTCTCATTCTTGACACTCTTAATAATGTAAAATCTCATGGTCATCTTCAATTGATTACGTTTGCATCGAATTTTCTATTATTTTTTGGTTGTTTATACGATTTTTTTCTTAAATATCGTGCGGATAGGATCAACAATCACATCATTATTCCTTATTGGATTTTGATACTTTTTCTCATCTTTTATTTATGCCTGTTTCTTATATCACGTTTTATTCTCATATTGTCGAATATTTTCTCACTAATAACATGGTTAGGGCTTGGTTTTTCACTTACATTTTCTACATTCACATATTCAACAACAAGTGCAAGTCTCCTATTCAATATATGCTTAATTGTCTCAAGTGTTCTGATATTTATTTCACATTTTTTAAAATTATTCACAACCACAGGAAATGGTTTTCGTTTTATTCGATCGAATGAATTATTTGAATTAATTGGGTATGGATTAGGTAAGTGAATAATATTAATATCATTTTACTTCTCATACAATTATACTTTCTTAATATGGCGGAAATTTATTTTACGGCAAATCTTTTCCTCTTCAGGTTTATTCGTGTTACCAATTGACAATCAAAATCGCCTTTCGTTATATTTTCTATTAATTACATTATACTTATCAATAATAAGTATTCGTTTACGTTCATTGTACTGCTGTATTCTGTTTCCATTCATTTTAGTTTATTGTCAATATTATTTTCCACCATTTTCTCGTGTAGCAGGCTGTTGTTTATTAGTTCGTCTCTATTCTCGTTCAATTATTGAACTGTACTTTATTTCATTAACATCATTAGATCGATGGATCTTATTGTTGTCACTAACAAGTACTAAACGAAAATTATATCAGCGTATAATGATATGCATATACGGAATAGTAACATTGGCAAATATTCTGTTAATTGGTTTAACAATATCGAAACATAACGAATGGTTCATAATGATACCATTATATGTAATATTTTTTGTACTATGGTGCATATTTCATTTACTTACTTTGAGTCTTCTATGGATGTTATCAAATAAATTATGTGAATGTTATCGAAACATGTTAAATGAAGAAAAAACCAATGAAGAAGGACAAACAAACAAAATATCATTTACAAAATTAATGGCATCCAAAGGTATTCATTTGAAATAAAGTTTTCAGCTAATTACTCTGAAAATATGTCTATAGGTATACGTTATTTTGGTTTAATTACGTGGCCAATTATTGTATGTTCAACATTATTAACTTTATTACTCACAATTTTACATTACGACACAAAAACATCGACATCTCTGGCTTTATTTTTAATTGCAATCACTCTAGAATGTTTCATATTATCATTCGTTAAAAATTTGTGCTCCATTGTCGGTGGAACCTGTGCTGGATATGCTCTTGTTGCACCGGCATTCGAGTAAGTAGTTGCAGAAGATAGATAAATAAATGTTCTTATCTGTGTAGCTCAATTATCTATGTTTTTGCAGAATACATGATGATGGTCTCTTCTCGCCCAGGTTAGCTACTGCTCGGAATTAATCAACATAGATGTAGCTTTTGCTCACCAAACATACTTCTTTTTACGCTTATTTTAATGCAGCCCACATATTTTACACGTGTTTTTTATCTTTGTCTAATTTTTGTTTTTAGTACAAAAACGGTTCAAATATTATCTCAACAAGAAGCGTATGCTTGTGGACAACGGTGTACAGCGATGTTAAACGGTTTACATCGTTTCATGTCCTGTAATCATATTGAAAATTTTGGCTGTGACTACTCGTCTAGTGGAATAACAATGAATTTCATCAACGCAAAATTAAAAACATTTTTTGCCAAAAGAACATTAGATGGATTACGGTATGACACATATGTATTCTTCTACAGTGGACCAACAAGAGATACCGGCGATATAGCACTGTCAGGTAAAAAGAAGTCTCTAATCATCGTAGTTGTAGAGCAGGGCTCGACGACGGACCGGGCCAAGAATATAAAATCCATCACGAATCGGGTCAGACTAAAGACTGGACGGATGCGGGCGAATGTTTCTAAAATCACACGCCTGATCCGTTTCTGACTGTTGCAGAACTTGCTCTTTTAGTCAAAAGATGTCACTTTGCACCGATGAATATGCAGTAGACATCGTGATTGAACTTATTAGAAAACAATCTTGATAATGTTATATTTATCCGTTTCAGTTTTGTGCTTTTGATTATCGTCCACAGCAATTGTTATATTTCATTTGCTTCTATTTGTTTAGCATAGCTTGTCCTAATAAGTGAAAAGACGTTCCTTGTCGTTCTTCATTTTCTCCTTCTCGTTTGAATTCGGACGCTCAGTATCACTCCAATTGAAAACTTATTGAAATTCAAGTGTGATCTGAAAGAATCTGTCGTTATAAAGAGTGAACAAAAGGAATATGTTCAGTTCTCTGTCTAAACGTCAATTAGATGATACATATGAATACATCAACTATGTTTGATCAAGAAGAAAATGAGCAGGCGGATGATCTCAAGTTAGACCAGATGGACTGAAGGAAAGTGTGTGTCGGGCAGACTAGTGGTTGAGGGATGAAGACAGCTGATGCCAAACAACGATGCGTAGCTATATGAAGAGAAATTTGAACCGTTTCCAGTCCTGTGTTGGAGTTTTATTAAGCCTCTTCACAAATCGACTTTGTTGTATCATAATGTTTTATTTAGACAATCAAGCTGTTACAGTAAATTTGTTACTTCAGTGGTGGTGTGAAAATGGATACCATGAGCCGACATGCACTTCTCGTCTTATTCTCATATTTGACACTTACAATTCTCACAAATGGTTAAAATTAATTAATTGTCAATCGTCATTTTCCTCGTGTAAACCTGGTGTCTATCTTGTTTTACAAACTTATCGTCGTTATTCAAAACAAGAAACAAAATTAATTGAACTAGGTCAGATTCATTTAGGTCAATTTACCGATTTATGGTTAAAATTAAACAGTGTAGAAGATACTACCGCTGATGAAAAATTAACGTGGAAAGCAAATTATATGCAGCCAAAATGCGCTTTTTCATACTATTGGTCAGAATACAGTTTTCAAAAACCAACAAATTCTGATATTGAATTATATTTGAATGAACACTACTATCTAAAACGTCTCCATTTATTTTATTTATGTTTAACTTATATACCGTCAATTATAACATATCCATTTCTCTATGTTTTCAAGTGTTTAAAACGAACAAAATTTATGTTGTTGACACCAAAAATTATTGATACATATCATGGTTTCAGATTATTTGTGAGATGAAATATTTTCTTTGAACAATTAAAAATTTTCAACTCCTTTTCCAAATGTAACGACTCCTTTTTCTCTCTAATCTATACTTCCCACTAAATACTACCCGTTGCCATACTGAATGTAAGTTTTATCATCAAACGCTGTGAAAATAGAAAACGTTTTTGTACGATCTTTATCTAAAAAACTTCTTTTTCTCAGAATGTTTATTGATGCGATAAAACTCAGTTATATTATTGTTAAAGAATTTTAAATGTTTAAAAATGATCTGTCTTTCTAAAAATCGAACAAAATAGTTACACGAGTTCATCTTCCTTTCTTGTAGTATGAACTTTTGTTTGTTAGTAACTGTTTTGTCTAAACTTACTTTTTGACATTTATTTTTTTGTTGCTGCGCGTGTATGTAACTAGACATACCTCAAGCTATACAAGACATTCCGATATAGTGGGCTGGTTCCATACATCATTTCTTTCATTGATTTCTACTGTTTTTTTTGTAAGTTATAGGGATTCTGAATTTTTTTGGGTGATATTTACATGTTTTTGACTATTTTTAGTTGGTGATTCGTTTATTTTAAATATAAAACTGAAAATATTTTCTGTTTATCCAAATTACTGTTTTTTTTTTAAAGGAGTTAGTTCATGGAGTATTTAGGTTACGTGTCATGTTTCATTGTTTTAGATATACACATATTTTCTGTTTCAACACTTTATACTATAAACAAATTTGTTTTATGTCTGCATGAATGCTTCCGTATTTTTACATCATTTTTGTGATTTACATGGACCAACTATTCTACTTTGTACAGAAACGCAATATATCCATGATTGTGATGATGATGATATGTTAAAGCTATTTTATTCACAATACATTAAAGCTGAAAATTCGAATACAAAAACCACATGCAAGGTAAAATGAATAAAAACAAATAATAATTGAGAAAAGTAATAGAGATATTTTGTCTTTTTTTGTAGTCTTGTACATTATCACTTGATCCTGTCCTTATTTCATCGATTGATAGAGAACGTCATCTCTTGTTTATATCCGCACCCAGTCCAAATAATCAAGAATTATATAAAATTGGAAGAAATGCTTGTTTAAGAAGTCTCAACTGTGAGGTAGAATTTTATTTACTGAATATTAGTTTATTCGTTAATCTGTGTGATCGAAAGATTTATTCACGCATTTATTGCTTTGTAGAGATCGTCTGATAATGATAAAGGTGTTTTATTTGGTGATGATGAAAGTGGCTATTGTCTGTCCTTTACATTTTCGATAAAAGATTTTCACGCGCGTGGTAATCAACGTCTCTACTCTCTTTGTTATTTAACATCTGATAAATATTACATCATTTCTTTATTGCCAATTATTAACGAATATGTGAAACTAATTGCTGGATGGATACAAAATGATGCTAATTTGATGTATGAAAAAGAGGCAAGAGTTAAAATAACAACTCCAACGCCATCAACAACATCGTCTTCAAGATATGGTCATATAACAACATTACCAACATATGTTTATCGAATGCCACCTCGTACGCCTATTAGTAAGACACTATCAGAAATCACACATGATCAACATATAGCTTATAGGATACATTCACTCTTTGTATGGTTATTACGATTGACCAATTCGGCTATTCAAGAAAATCTGTTTGATGCTATGCCAACTGAAGAAGATACCACAAGAATTGAAAGAAAAGGTACAGTATGATGTTAGTTTCTTAACTTTATCTTTTCACTATTTTTCTTGAACAGTAACAGTTAGAAGAATCAGAGGGTTCACCTTTTACAATACTATCTAAAACGTCGTCTGAATTTGAAAAATGAAAGATGCGTTATTCTATTTTTGTTTTTATTGTTATATTTATTCGTGTTTGACAACTAAAATAGACGGATTATTTCTTAGAGGTTCTGGATGAGCACAATTCTTCTACTTCCGTACCATCTCCTTCAACCGCCATGCTTCGTCGTCGATCAACTATTGTCAATCTTATTCAACCACCACGAATCAGTGATTCAATATCGACAATGGGTGATTTAACTGTTGAGTTAGATTGTGGTGATAATTCTCAGGAATACAATTTTTCAACGTATATGAACGATGCGTTAAAATTATTTCATCAATTTATGCAAAAAATCAATCAGATAAAACATGTACAGTATATTCTTTATCATCTATGTATTGGAAATCAAATTATTATAAAATATTCGAGTAAAATGAAAACGAAAGAAACAATTCGACCATTTATCAGCTTACTCAGAGTAATTTATCACTATTGCACATAAAACAAATATTTTCACGATGAATTTGTTTTTTTTATAGCTTTTACTACCAGATCGTTCTTGTCGACTTGTTGAATCATCAACGTATGTTTTGTCTTGTTCAGCGAATATTCTTATCTTAGATAGCGACGCTTCTAAAGTATATGAAAGTGATATACCAATGAATGATAATAATAACGGCAACGAATGTGTAGTAGTACTAAAATTAATTATCGATGATGATGATAAAAATATTCTTATGGCCAAAATGGAAACACCGATCAAACATGATTTCATGGGTGAATACGTTAATTAGAATAATTTCGACATATGGTCAAATTTCTTTTATCTTAACAAGGCTTAAATGGACTTTTGACGACTTCATTTTATCTTTTAGTACCAACCTATATTAAAACCGTGATCGACTTATTATCTGATACAACGATAGATGCAGAAGCTTTCGAATCAGTTGTTGTTTATCATAAAATGAAATATCTAAAGTAGGAGATATATTCGAAGATAAAGAATAAATATCACATCAAATAAATTATTATCTTTTAGCAAATCGAAATTATTATTTCAGCTTGGTCGTTGTCGTTCAAGACAAAATTGGTCTGATAAACAATTACTTGAAATCTTAAATTTAAAAACGTCAGCAGATCTAGCAATGGTACGATTTTGGCAAAGTGGTCTCAGTTTAGCTTATCGAACACAAATACGTTCATTAATAAGCGAATATCATCATTATCAACAACCGCAACAAAACAACAACAGATTATGATAGAAACAACTATGCATTTTTATTTAGATAAAGACGCAATTGAAATGAGTATTAATTGATTGTTAGTTCTTTAACATTTCAAACAATTTTTGAGAACTTCCATAGGATGTTTGTATGTTTCAAAAAAGTGAGGTCGTCTGTATAACTCAGAAATTCTGGATTATTAAAAAAAGCAAACTGTGTTTTAGAGCCTCTCTGTGAGCAATATTTAAAGGAAAAAAATGGAATTAAGTTTTTTTATCAACCGGTGAAATAAGTTTTTTTGTTTTTGTTTTTCGGATTTATAAAATGATCACCTAAGATAGTCTTTTGGATACAGTCCTTTAATTTATCTACTTGTTTTTCATTTTTTTGTTTTATTGATTGATTTTGTTTATGTATGTGTGCACTTATGTACATTATTCGATTTCATTTGCTCAATTTTGTGTTCTTTTGTTCAATATTTTTTGTAGCTCAAATCAGGCGAACCAAACGACTAAGTCTCTTTTGTACAGTGGGAAATTTTTCTCTTTTGTTGTTGTTGTTATTGTTTTTCATTTCTTTGTATTTCTTTATTCTGATGAAACATTTTTTCTTTCAATCTGATATAAACAAAAAAAAATTGATTTTCAAGGTATTTATTATGTTCTTGTAGTAGGTACAACTTATTGTGACAAGATTTGAAATTGGACGGGACAGTACTTTGAATTCATTTTCAATAATGGACAAAATAGTTAGAAAAAATAGTTTTTCCTGTGACTTTTGTATAGATTTTCTCGATGTTTTTCTTGTATCACAAAATCACATTTGGATATATTTTAAAACTACATCTCTTGTAACATCACTTTTCATTGTTTAGGGTTTACTATAGAGTGAAAATAATAAGACATTTAATAATAAGACCTTTTTTCCGTTGCATTCTCCGGAAAAGGAGTGAATACTCTGCGCCACTACGCTCATATGGGTGCTCACAATGAATGACCACTGTTTATTAGGAAATCAGTCAAATTCTGCTCATTATCAAAAGAAAGTCTTTATGAAGCAAAATCGAAGAGGCATTTGTGAAGTGACACCTCTTTGTTGATTCTGGAGCACAATTCAAAAGTTAGTAAATCAATAGTATTTAATCTAGATTTGAGCAAGCCGTTTTCATGGTAAATTCTACTCTAGGAGCCATTCATTGCACGAGAAAGACGACTGTTTCTCACAGACGCGTGCTCAATGCCTATTTCAGATTTTTTTCTAAGTAGCCTCATCTTGTAGAGCATGGACGAAAACTTACAAATCCGAATTTGTAGGCTTCCTGAACTTTTCATTCCGTAGATATGAAATTTTTCCGAATGGAGTAAAGTTCGAGAAGTTATGCGCTTGAAAAACCTACATTTCATTTTTCTCGTGAACAAGAAGAGATGAAACCGCGATTTTTTCAGGATAGGTGGTACTACTTGATGTCTACCATATATGGTAGACACCAAGTAGTACCACCTATCCTGAAAAAATCGCGGTTTCATCTCTTCTTGTTCACGAGAAAAATGAAATGTAGGTTTTTCAAGCGCATAATTTCTCGAACTTTACTCCATTCGAAAAAATTTCATATCTACGGAATGAAAAGTTCAGGAAGCCTACAAATTCGGATTTGTAAGTTTTCGTCCATGCTCTACAAGATGAGACTACTTACAAAAGAATCTGAAATAGTCATTGAGCTGGGCTTGTCGTGGCTTATGTACAATGGCTCCTAGGCTTCTCATACCCTATAATATTCTCTACTTCATTTTCATAACTCATTCGTTTGTCAATTTTCTCATTATTAAATAAAAAATAATTTTCTACTTTTACAAGATGTCGCCTCCTTAAAATTAACAATTTTTTATTACCAATATCGTTTAAACGGCTAAAAACACATGTCAAGCATTAAGATGTAATATTCTTTAATTATTCATAATTAATAGTTTAACTTTTCCCTAAACGAGACGATGACTAAGCCTTTCTTCGAGAATTTTTTGGGATTCTGAAAGCTACAATACAGAGGATGAAGAATTATTATTCAAAACGAATTAAAAAGGAAGTAGATACCTTAAAACTCTGTACGACTTTGAAACTTTAGAATCATTCAAGATACAACAAGAACCGATGAACCAAGATAGGAAAAAGAGTTCTGTACCTATTTGTTTGTACGAATCGATAACTACGAAGTAACTACTCAAAACGGTGGATTTAATTTTCCAGTTTAATGCAAGGCTAAATTCATGCGTTCGAATCTGTATTCATACAAAATTGATCTTTGTGTTTTTCGATAGTTTTAGCGTAGAATACTATAATGGAATATGTCTCCGCTTGTATTCTGAAAAAAATAAAGCATTACGTCTAGATATTCGAATTTGTTGAGCGAGGTCAACGAATTGTTTGCCAAAAACCGTTGCTGGTTTACCAGCATATGGTATATCAATAAGTATTCTCTCATTTTTGGCTACTGACTGTGATAGTAAGCAAAGGTGCAGGAAAATTGCTGTTTCCTTCCATTCTCATAGTGTCTTATGTGTGTTTTTCGAATATGTGCCCCTTTATATCGTGAAGAATAGCCAGTCTCCCATATTTTCTTCTCAGCGATAAGTCGGGGAGCTTTAGTTTTCAAATTAACCGTGACACCGATCCGTCGATCCGTCGAACTTTTTGAAAATCATTCTTGCGGCTGATTTCAAAATTTTGTCAAGACTTTTGGCATAAGAATTGCTATCGTAGACGAGACAACAGTAATCGAGTTTATTAAGAATACAACTTCGAAAAATAACCGGATGCTAACTAGAGCTTCCCTGGAAGTCAAAACATTGCTTCAAGCCGCCTTCTGCATTCGAGAACTAACTCATCAACATGCTCTCCCCATGTGAGATACAAAAAAAAAGTGTTCATGATCTATTAACTGCAGGAGACATGTTGAACAATGACTGTGAGTTATATAACGATAGAGATAATGGTATTGAAACAGCCGAATCATCATCATCACCGGATAAAAGCAAAGTTTCTATTTGTAATCGATTATTTGCTAAAAGTTGACAAATTGAATCAAATTTTGATTTTTCATATAACGAAAATCAATATGTAAATGAGGATATGATTGTAGCAAAGTATCTAAACGATAATTTAGGTCATAAAATGCATACAATAAGTTATCACCATTCAAATAATCAAATATTTCCAAGATTAGAATTCAAATTTAGACTTGTTAAAACATAAAAATGGGAAGTTATATTAAAAGGTATCCAGACAACTAGCATTCTTTGTACTTTGAACGTTAGTTTCATATCCTTTAAACAACATATAAGCGTACGCAAAACGTTACAATCTGTTCTGGCTGCAATCCTGCATGGACTGAAGCTTGATTAGATGAAAGAAATTTTAATGAAAGCTGATCTCGACTGAAAAGAAGTTAAACTCTCGACCTGTCTTATTGATTTTTAAACTCCAGGGGCTTATCGTTTCGTAGTGGACTGTCTGGCGAATTGAAGCAACAAAATGGTCAAGATAACTGGACGATAATTTTTGTTCCAAAAACTACAACACGGTTAATATGTTTTATAAGCTGAAAATAGGTCAACTTATCGAACAGTAAAAAAAGTATAAAAAAAATTATGTTTATTGCGTAGGCTAGCACCTTCGATAAACACTCATTACGTGGAGAGACGCTTATCTCTATTTGTATTGGACGTTTTGCTGACTTATAGAACGTTATTTATCTCAGTTCATGTTTTTCTTTTTGGTATTTTTCAGATATAATTACCTATACTATAGACTGTATAAAAAATGTCGACGAAGGTATTTAGTATTTGATGTTATGTCTTGCTGATGAATCTCAGATCTCCTCTTTCTTTTCCAGTATGAGTATAAAAAACTGAATGAGCTATTTGAATTGTCAAAAAGACCCGCGAGTCGTGATAGCAATCGTACGAATGTTTATGGTGTAATTAAGTTTATTCATGAAAATGATAGCCTAATTCATCTGGGTATTTGTGATGAAACAAGTTATGGTCCTGGACGAAGTGCTAGCTGTTTAATATTCAAAAATTCACGTTTTAAACAATCGAATAATGGTATTATTGAAACTCCTGAACAACCGGCCATTGGACAGATTATTCGTTTCAATCGGATGAAGGTGAATATAATTAAACTATCTGTTTTGAAATATAATAAAACAGTGTGTGATGATTTTGCTTATTCAATGTGTAATCTATCGCAAGGATTTATGAAGTATTTTGTTTTCAACACACATTTTTTCCGTTACAATAATGGATTAATTAGTTGAGTTAAGGAAACAGAATTTAATGTGAACTCCCACATTTTAGTTTTCGTATTATTCTTTGTAATCATAATTATGCTACAATTTGAGGTTCAAACCAATTTTAAACCATCAACAAATCTGTTTCAAATGAAAATGTTAGATCATGGTTCATGGTAGGTAAAATGAAAAAAGGAATTATGTTTTAGACTTATATATAGTACCATTGTCTGCTTGTATTTTTAGGTTAATTTTCGATGGTAATAATGATAATCCAAACGACTTTGAACCCATTGAAAAAAGTTCAAACAATTTTACGTTTAATGATGATGATAAAAAACATGTACGTAGTACACAGTTAAAATATGTGAGCCATCTTTAGAGATCTATTCTCAAGCAAGATTTTATTGTATATATATATATATAACAGTATGGTGTGTTCTCTATTCAGATCAATGATTTACGACAGTGGTTGTCTACGTTTGATCGTAATACAATAGAAAATGATCTAGATTATCAGTTTCCATTTAGTAATCCTGATCACGATAAAAATGAAGTTGAGAATGGTGATTGTGGATCAGTGACGCAGTCGTCACAACAGCAGCCACAGACACCTAGTAATAATTCATCATCCTCACAGCAATATTTTCCAGCTGAATTACCAAATGATGAAGAGGAAGAGACGGGTTCACATAAACGAATAAAAGTTAGTTAAATAAAACAAATCAGCGTTTTTCTTCTTTTTTTATTGGAGTAAACCATATTGGTTAACATTTGTTTTTCGTTTTCTGTATAATTATTTATTAATGTTCTAGTATATTTGAAGTTTGTTTTTTTTCTTATCAATTATATTCTTTTCTTTTTGTAGTTTTTTGTTGCTACTTTGTCGAATGTTTGACAGTAATAGTTTTTTCTTAATATATATATATATATTGTATGAATCTTGTTTACGAGATATTTTCTTCTTGAAAAAAAAGACTCTTAAGACGAATCACCTTCATTTTTAATAATCTACAATTGTTTGATGAGATTGAAAAGAGTCACGCTTGATATGGATATAATCATCTTGTTACAACATGGAGATATCTCCCCTGTATTTCAAGACGATGGAAAAAATAATTAACACAACATGGAAGAAAATAGTAACTTATTTTATTTATAATTGTTAGTAAGAAAGATAACAGTTCGTATCGAATAGTTTTATATTGTTATCTTGTTTAGTTACGACATATTCTCTTAGTAGAATATATTAACTACAATAACTGAGAAACGAATATTTTATCAAAGCGTACCATTAAGCTGTATTTTTCGTGTAACGACGTATCCATACTAAGGAACCAGATGAGATAAACATTCAACTTTCTAACACGTAGAATGCTTGAACCCAGCTGTTCTAGAAATCCAGATTCATTGTAAGGGTACTCTAGTTAAGAAAAAATTGAACTTCTTTTCTCGAATGTAAAATCTTGTCGGATCTTCTTTAAACTGGAAATGACAAATGTACCTATTAGTTTTCTTATTTTACGTTTATTTGTAAACAAATAATAAATAAAATACAAATGTTACTCTATCTCGTTTGTAGTTTTCTGAAATAGTTTCAATGAATAAATAATAATCCGACTAAACATATCATAACTTTCGTCAAACTGAAAACGAATTGAATTTGTAGTTATTGAAGAAGTTAAATTAAATATTTGTAATTTATTATTATCAAGTGGATAAAATTCTGCTATAGACACCATTTTTTCATCTTCATTCTTCAATAATCTACATTGTAACAAAAGTTTTTTTGCAGAAAAACCACCTTGAAATTTAATTGCTATGGATGATAATTGAACATTTTCAGCAAGATTGATCTGTATCCATTGCGTTGAACCCTAAATAGATTATCATCTTACTGTAATAAAAATTCTACATACGATTTTAGTAGAGAATCAAAAAAATACTCAGCTTTTAAAAATTCGTTTTCAAAAGTTAATTTAACCATTTTTCGTTTGAGACAGATGGGGGGGAGGGGGAGAGACGATACAAAATTTGCGTATATAAAGTATAGTAATGGATAACTGAATATGTCTTTTAGTTTTTACTCCTTCTAGTCATTTTTTGAGCTAAAAGTTGCGGCCAATTACATGTCGACTGTAATAAAGACCAAGGAGAGTAGAATACTAAAAGGTCTAAACGTACTGCAGGAATAAGGTAGTAAAATGAGAAGATAGAAATATGTTAAGTATATGGACGTTGAATTTTAGAAATGCCAAAAAGATCTTGGGAACAAATTTTGGACAAACAAGCAGCCTCATTGAAGAGGCACTCAGGAGAACATATATGATTAAATATAACTTACTGCTTCAGAATTCCAACATGTTTCATCACTTCCATCGACCAAATTTTTTTTTCCATAATTTTTATTATCTTTATTTAATACCGAACTAACTCTAGAATGGAACAAACCTGTTTTCTCTCTCTTATCTATACTTTCCACTAAACTTCAACTACTTTTACCTCAATTGTGTTTCATTTAGTTTGATTTCAATATTAGACAAATCAGCCATACTTAAAACGATCTATAACAATTAATTCAACGGTACTAATGATTATGTACATGACGTCTGGTGAAGAAAATGTAATACTGAGCCTTGTCTTACGAAGACTCTATGTCCTTTTTATTATGAAAAAAAATTTTTTTAAAAATTATTTAAAACAAACATAACGGTATATTTCCTACTAAGGAATTACAAACAAGTTAAACAGTATTGTTCGTTTTTCAATCACCAATGGCTGGTAATTGAGAGGTAATAACTTGACGAAATGTTCCATCTAATGAGATTTTTGGATTATTTGGTCCAAGAATTGTTGCCGAATAGACTTTATCTTTCAAATATCTATGAATAAAATAATAGCAAAAAAGCAATAATAAAAACGGTATACATCTAGTCTTTATCCATTAGAATTCTCTTTCGGTTCTATATTCAAGTTAAAACTATTGTATTCTCAATCTTTTAGCGTCGACTCGGCATCTGTGATTTATTCACTTATTTTTCGCTCTATTAAACTCGTTTGAAAAATTCTTTATTTAGATATTCTAATAGATGGAGGGATAGAAGATCGTTTGAGACATTTGGCAAAAGTTTGGGTTTTCGTACTAAAACTACTACGAGCGTTGAATCTACAGTGACAGTGAAACGAAAAAAGCATAACATCCTGACAGAAGTACTTTTTGAACTATTCCAACAGTAAAAGTAACTTTTTAAGAAAAATGTTTTTCATTTGATAGTTTGAACTATTAACTATAAACTTTATTTTGATCTTTATTTTTGAAAGTGTCTAGATGGAACTTTTGATGTTTCTCGAATATAATTGTTTTATGTAACATTCTTGATTTTAACTGTTGTAAGCTTCAAATAACTTAATCAACGAAGTTCAAAGTTTATAGTCGGATGTCGAAAATTCAGAAAGTGATAAAATAACTAACTCTTTTGTTTCTCTGTTTTCGAAGAAAAATGAAAAAAATGTAACCAAAATGTAACGCTTGTCCAAGCCGAATTCTAACATTCAAAATAATCGCTGATCTTACTCTTCATCACTTCTTTAGCTCAAAACAAGATATTTAAAAAAAAAACATTTTATAATTGGAATGTAGTACGTACCTTTGAGCAACATCAATTAGATCATTTTTTTTACATGTAAATATACGATCACGATTTTTTTGTCTCATATCATCATCAATACCACTTAAAAATTCTAACATTCCTTGGTTACCCGGTGATTTTGGTGCATCAAGCTAAATCGATAAGAAAACTAAATAGAATTTATCTATCTAGAAATAACACATGAACACTATACTTTTTGAAATGTAGCTAATTTTGCTTCATCAACATCTTTTTCAGTAAAATGTCCATTAATAATAAAATTAATACAATTAATAAATTTATCTAATGTTTCAACTGAATGAGGATCTCTAAAAACATATTAAAATAAATTATTTAAAAAATAATTATACAAATTATTATTAATTACCTATATGAAAAGAATGAAAATAAATTTCCGCGTAAATATGCGCCACCTCCATAAGCGCCACCAATTTCACGTACTTCTCTTAAAAGATATTTGTTAAACATTAATTTAGATAATATTGATAATCTTAAAACAAAAAAACAACAACAACAACAGATAATTATTAAATAAATATGTTTAGTTTTACTCACTTTGGTCGATCTTCATGTACATAAGGTACTGCTTGATATGTTTGTCCAGAATAAAAGACATCAAATGGCATTTCAAAATGTGTTTTATACATTTGTTGTTTTTCTTGCTTTAGAGTAAAATCATTTTTTATAATTAATGATGCATCTTCAAAATGTGTTTTATATAGTTTATTTGGTTGATCACCCGGTAAATGTTCAAGAAATGTTTCTAATCGTTTAGTACTTGTATTTAAAGCATCGGATTCAGCATTAAATGAACATCTAAATACACACACACACACACACACACAAATATCATCTAAAATTACATTTATTTTTTTATTCACCTCATTGATATTTTTCTGAGTGTATGTGTCGCTATCTGATGTAATTTTTCAACAAGTGATTCATAATTATCCATTCGAGCAATTGTTTGCATTCGATTGACTTGTGTTAAACCAAATAAATTTTCACTTAATTTTTCAACAAGACCATGATGACTACTCGAATTCATTACCGCAAATGAATGACCAGATTGAACAACACTATTCGCATAACTCGATGCTAAACCTTTTATTAATGTTTGTAAACGTTCATTTTGATTTAATTGTTTACTAAGAATCAAATAAAAAAACAAAAAAAATAGAACTGTTCAATAATAACTGTTATTTTCTCTAATATTTGTGGACAGAGTTACATACGTAAAATTAATTAGTATATCTTCCCATAAGTCAAACATTGCATCAATATTTCGATCGAGACAATAGGATGATAAAAGAATACCCTAGTAAAAAAAAGAAAAATAAGAATAAGAGAAAAAAAGATATTAATCACCTTTGAATATCGAACATACCTCTTCATAATGTTCAATTTCAAATGGACTATCATCAAGATGTGTGGATACATTTAGACCACCGGTTTTTAACGATATTTGTTCAGATAATTGTGAATAATTAAATTTTGACGAACCAAGTCTAAAAAATCAGATAAAAATAAAATAATGATTCACTTTTTACATCAAATATTTATACATGTTCACGTGTTAATGATAAATTTTATTCATCTTTAGTGAAAATCTTAGTGAGAGATAGAACAATTATCTGAAATCTTTGTTCTTGGATGTCTACAGGCGTGGATGGGCATTAGTGGGATATCGCAGAATCAGTAGAGAGAGCAAGATGACGATGTGTCGAATATCAAAAAATGAATTTTTTTTCTAGCGTAAGTTAATCATTGCTAATAAGAAAAAGTTTTTTTTTTTCTTCAAGTGTACACAGAGTTATGACAGTTTCAAGGTCGTTTTGCAAGAGCAACCAGCCGACGAGAAGATAAAGGATTTAACTGTAAAGTGAACAAAAATACTTAATTTCATATGAGTAGAAATGCTTTTGATCATGAAAAAGTATCACATTTGACATGTATCCATTCCTAATCTATTCTTTCTTTCTATTTTCATAAACTAATTCTCATTTGAATGTGATTATTTTTCAACTCGAATACACTACACTAATCTAAAGGCGCTTGTATATTTAGTTTATTAGCGTATTATGTTAAATTTATTAGTTTTACTGTAATTTTGTAAAACTGAATGTAATGCTATATGACAGTGGTTTTGATGCTCTTTATCTAATTTAGAGTGAATATTTCCTGAATATAAATTCATTTGAATAATAATAATTTTAATAGTAGTGATATTTTATTTTTATCGATGTTTCGAACAATACATGTTCATTATCAAGACAGATGTAACGAAATAGTTTGAAACTAAAAGATAAAACAATGATAAACTATTCGATAGAGAGAAAGACAAATAAAATACTACTATTGATGTTATTAAAGATGTATACACTATTCTTTCTATTTATAACTCTATTGTTTTACCTTGACTTTAAACTGTACTTTTCTATTTTTGTTTTGAGAACCTTCGAGATAGATTATTAGTAGCACCGATCTTATTGTACTATTTATTTGTTTTGTTTTTATACACAAAAAATAAATGATTAGACAATGTTACAACTTATTTTATAATATATCAAAATGAGCATCTTATATCTAGTATAGAAAGAGATATATTCTAATAAATGAAAAACTATTAAAATGAGGGTGGTAAAAGAATAGGAGGTCCAAGTACACCGTTATAATTTGAACCATGATTAATACAAGGAACATATAACGATGAGTGATTATGTTTTTGTTTTTGTGGTGTAAAAGGATATTGATATTGTTGAAAATAAGCTGCTTCATCATTCGGTACTTGCAATACTGGTGGACTCCGTTGTTTTTGATGAGATGAGACAAGTACACCCGATGGACTACGATGTGGAAGTCTAGGTAGAGGAGATGGTAATGGTCGTCGTCCTGTTCCCAGAGTTGGTGGAGATCGTGTTGACTTAAAATAGGATGATGTGGGTGGAGAGGGTGGAGGTAAACCGAAATCATAATTATTATCAGGTGTTGTACGATTTTTTCGATTAGGAACTGTAGGAACAGGCAAAAATGCGCTAGATGAATGATGAGGTGTTGACGATCTATTGGGTTGTTGCGATAAAAATGGATCTTTTGATGTCGACGGTGAAGATGAAAGAAATGTAGCAATGTCAACTGGTGGTGGTGGATGATGTTGTTGTTGTTGCTGTTGATAATGATAATTGTCTAAAAAATCGTTAAACATATTAAAATCATTATTTTGCATCTTTCTTGGTTGTTCCCAAACATCCTGTATATGAGAATTAAACGATAAATCGTCCATTCGTTGTTGATTATTGAGATGAAATGGTGACTGTTGTTGTTGTTGTTCGTGCTGTCTCACAAATCGATCAAATGAATTTGGCCAATTATCATTTGACGCTGACTTAGGATCGATTTCTGACGCTAGAGGAAACTGAGTATCGAACATTCTTTTTTTTTTGTTTAATTATAACGATCGTTTTTCGCTATTGTAAGTATTTATATTTTATTGAAAAAAAAAGGGAAAACATGTATTAAAAGAAGGGAAAAACGAAAGAAGAAAGAAGAGTATATACGAAGAAAAACAGAAATATAGAAAAAATAGGTAAGTATTTATGTCTATCTACGAACAATTAGGATGACCTGATAGTTCGAGAATAAACAGACCATTTACCTGTAATATGAATTACTACATATTATGCATAAAACAGATGAAATATTTTTGATATGATAAAAACATACATATCGCCTTATATAAAATACAAAAGCCTTCAAGGTAAAATTATTTTCTTTTCCATATTTCATATGTTAACTTGATAGTCAAAAACAGCTTGGATTTAACATATGATAGTTCTTAATAAGAAAAATTTTCTACTCTCACCAACTAAATTTCTTCGATAATAAACACTATCAAAATATCTTATTTTAAATTATTTCTTACTAAATTTGATTATAAAATTATGCGTTCTGAAAATATCACACAATAAAATATGATAGATGAAATATTAAAAAGAAAACAAATCTAAAATTGTGATACTATTCATTTCTGTGTTATTACCCTTTGATTTATAGTGATGATTTAGAAAATAATGTCGATTCACATATTCAATTATTTTATCCTAGATTAAACAACTTACTTGGTTAATATACTGACAAACAATGGTAAATATGGTTTTAAATCATTTGGCAATTGAAATGTATTTAATAAACATCTAAAATAGGTAATTCCATTTGTTGGTCGTTCACATAATTGTACGTAAGTATTTCCTAGAAAAATAAATAAATAAAAACGAATAAAAAAAAAAATTAAGTAAAAAAGATTATTTATTGCCTATTTGTGTTTTAATAATTGGTGTTTGTATAATATTTTTATCAATATCAGTTATAGCTAATGTAGGTAGAACGTCGACATTTTGTGGCGCTGATTGACGTTTTTGAAGTTCAAGACCTAATATGAAACTGGAGAAGACAATCTAATAACATAAGATCAAAAGAATAATTTACTCACCTTGTTCATATATATCTCGTTTATTCTCATATTGACTAATTAACTTTTGACATATTTCCATTTCTTTTCGTTTTTTCTTCTCAGAATATTCTTCATCCGGATTCATTATGGCAATTAATTTATGTTGATTATTCTTTTAAAAAAATAACATAAAATATTTAATTTAATAAATCTATAATAATATTTATTTTTAACTTACAAGAAAATATTTTTCAACCATTTCTTGTAATAATTTTGGATTTTTTTTTATTTCTTTATTGAAACGATCAAGAAATTTTGTTGATTTTAACGATTCAACTGGATCAGCTTCATGAATCCATGAATAAATTAAATTCTAACAATAACAATAACAACAAAAAAGCGAAGAAATTATTTTTATATTTAAATATTTAGACAATACTCACAGTTATAATTCTTAAACCAAAATTTTCATCTTGATGTTTCATTCCAAGTTCAATTTGATGTAGAATAGCATCAATTTGACTTTGTTCAAATCCATCTCTGAAATTAGACAAAAAAAAAAAATAATAATTTCATTTTTTATATCTTTGTGAATGTAAATTCACCTCGCCACTTCTGCAAATGTTTCATTAATTAGTTTTAGAACACGATCAACATCACCATTCGATATATCTTGTAAACCAACATGAAATGATGTATTCAATGTACTACGATCAAAACTGAATAACAACAAAAATAAATAACAACAGATATTTTTATTTCATTTTTAAAAGCACAAAAAAAAAACTGTACATACCCGGTGTCCGGTGAATAATTTGTACCAATATTGGGTATAATTAATTTTTTATAAAGTGGTGATTTTTCTGAATCAACTAATAATGAACCAACAATACCAAGTAAAAATGTTTCCCATACATCACGAATACTAAAAAGAAACAAAATAATTGACAGATATTTTTAATAAAAAAAAAATGAGTATAAAAGATGTATTAATATAAATATAACAGAATGTCACCAATATATTACCTTCCTAATAGATAACTAATACTGACTGTTGTCGTTTTTTCTTGATCAACAACAAATGATTGTGGTGCACACGCTATTCTTTCAGTTTTCTGTTGTTTCCATCTTGGCTCTTCTAATAATGTCGATGTAATAGCTTTTTGTTGTTTTGTATAATTAATTAAATAATCATTTAAATATTCTAATGTGTCTGTTAATGGAAATGTACCATAGGTAAAAAATCTTAATAATAAGAAAACAAAAATTTAACCAATTAATAAACTAAATTAAAAAAATAATTAAATTAATATTACCTGCTATTCGATGGATGATAATGTTTAGCATGAAATTCTTTTAATCCATTCCATGTTAATGATGGAATACTTTCAGGATCACCACCCGATTCATAACGATATGTAGATGCGGGCATAAGACTATTTTGAACACGTCGAGAAAATAACTGATGACTATCACTCTAAAATAAGAGAAAAATATTTAAATAATTTAAGAAAATAATTTTTCAATAGAATTAGAAAATACTTACAAATGCTCCTTTCATTTCATTAAATACAACACCTTTTAAAACAATTGGTGATGATGAATCATTGACATTTTCATGTTCAAGACGCCAACCTTCTTGTCTATATAAAAAATAAATATACATAAAAATTTATTTTTATTAATGTAAAAATTGTTTGAAAACAGTAAAATATAAGAAAAATTCGATAGAAAAATCATTTTTTTACATACAAGAAATCATATTGATCTAATTTTGGATGTAAAACAGCGTCAAGATAAACAGACATTAAATTGAAATAATCTTTTTGATTTTGTGTTGAAAATACATACATTGTCCAATCACTTGCTAATATAGATAAAAGAAATAAATATATTGATAACTGAAATTATTATCATTTCTAACCTGTGAATGCATTCATAAATGTAGCCATACTTCTATTTGTCATTTTAAAAAATGGATCACGACAAGGAAACTTATCTGAACCACATAATGATGTATGCTCAAGAATATGAGCAACACCGGTATCATCACGTGGAGTTGTTTGAAATGCAACACTAAATATGAAAATAAAAGATTTAAAAATGATAAGAAATGAAGTAAGAATATTTAATTTATTACCTCCAAACATTGTTCTTATGTTCACGATCAATATGCAAATGTTCACATCCAGTTAATTTATGTTGTAATTTAATAGCTGTTAAACGATATTCTGGTACAGATTCAATCTAAAAGAGAGAAAATGATAATTTTTTCATTATACCAATATACAATATAGAATCAACTTACTTCGTTAACAATATAGCCATGAATTTCTTGACCAATTGATAAAGAAGTTGATGGAGGTGTTTGAGATGGTTTTGGAGATAATGATGATGAGACAGAGAGTTTTTGTAATTGACGACGAATTTGTGAATGAATTGGATTTGTAAAACTTTGAATAATAAAAAAAATAATGACAAATCTTTTATTAAAAATCGAATAAAAACATGCATTGTCAGATCTTCTTGTCACACTTTCACTAACAAGAAATATTTTTAAAAGAATAAAAAAAAATCTAAATACCGATGGCACAATCTCAATAAATTCATGGATAATTTGAATTTTTAATCTGATCTAAAACTATCAAATACACATTCATGTAGCAATACAATCAAAGAACATAAAAGTACATCGTAGAAATATTAATCATTTTCAAAAACATCCATATCGAATGAATTCAGATCATTTTTTTATATTGAAATACATGTCATTTTCTCCTAAAAGTACATCACATACGTTTGCAAACTAACTACACAAGTATCAACAGGAGACTTTTTCGAAGAGAGTGGATATTCCCCTCGCCGAAAATTAAAACTTTGTCTTTTATCATTGAATACTTTTAAAAATCTCTTATTTTCAAATACTGAGAGCGATTAAAGTTTCTCTCTTCATAATGTACTTTTCAGGATAGAACCGTAGTATACTATTTTATCGTATTCATTCTGTTGAACAATAACTTTATTTTTAAACTTCATATTATTGCTAGGAAGATTCTCCGTTCATCAATCTTCAGACCTTTGCAGCAACGTCCCTGTCCATTTATCCAATAAATAGAATGAACTGGAAAAAATTCATTGGAAGCAGTTTTTTTAGAGAATGAAAACTTAGTCGAATATTTTTTCGAAATTTTTATTTCAAATTGACATCCGTCAGAGATTTTCTCTGTCACACTCCCAAATTTGTTTTTCAGTTTACAATCATTTTAGTGTCTCGAAAATATTCGAAGAAAAACAAACCAAGTTCTTGTTTCCAGAAAGTGAAAGTTTTCGTTCTACAAAATTTTTTCAAATGAAATCCAGTAATTTTTCGAAAAACTGCATAAAATAGCCGCCACCATCCTTATTTGAGTATTTGAAATACGTCTACCATCTCATATTTTTCAATCCTAAGTGCATACTTCTAAGCGCATTTCCTTTTCTTTAACTATTGCTCTGCAAATGCACCATAGGATGAACAAATTTGTCACCCATTGAACAACACCTCTCCATGACATTAAATGATTGAAACTGAACAAAGACAGCTACTCTTTTAAATTTGTTGAAGCTAGAATTATCTGACTATGTGCGAAAGCAGAAATAGTATTGGAAGAAATGCGTGTCTATAAAAAAAAATCTGTTAAATCTCTAGCTTCCACACAAAATACTAAGATTGATTAATCAGGCTATTCTCATAAATGTATTTTAAATCATGTAGTTCGTTCATATGACTGAAAACGAGATAATTCGTGTTTCTTTTTAACTTCAGAAATGAGATCTTACACGAAATAGATGCTTTCAATATTCTGCAGAATCGTACATGAGATAAATGCTCACATATGCATTTATCCGTTGTAATCCTGAAAAAATGTATGTTGTTATCGAATTTGAAAATGACATAAAAGGAAAAGTAATTTGTATATGTCTTTATTCTTTTATTAATTAATAGAAAAAGTTTAGCAGGAATAAGCCTAAAATCTTTTACATAGATCAACGAATCGAAGTCTATTCGACTCCGAAAAGTAAAAAGTTTGAAAATATCGATAAATGTTTAAAAAAATATTAAAATATTTTAATATTTTAATAAATTTATAAAATACAATGTAAAAAAAGTCGTGACATAATTAGGGCTATCGAGAGTAAGAAATTCTGTAGACCGAAGACTTCATCGACAATTACTTTATATAAAATTTAGTTTTCTTTACGCTAGAAATATTGCACAACACACTTAATGGAAACAACGAATCAAATATATTTTTTTAATTAAAAACTTGATTGAGTTCAAAATTAAAAGAAATTAAAGAAGAATTTGAAAGAATTTATTATGTTTGAATGTGAAGATGAGGTGGAAACTTAAAATTAGTTTTTGTACAATCATCTGTTTCATAATTACAGCGAATAAATGAATCACCTTCACCAAATCCCGATGGAAATCCAGGACAATAATATTTTGTTTCAGTTGTTTTTCTTGGTTTTCTTAATTTTAATCGTCCATATTTACATTTGGGACATGGTGGATAACCACCATTTTTAACCAAATAACTAATTCGAGTTAGTAAAACTTGTTTTATTCCAAATGGATTTTGATGATTATATCGAAGAATTTGTTTCAATATGGGAACAGTTAACAAATTTAATTGACTACGTATTGATGGCGGTTTTTTTGGCGTTTGTTGTTCATTATTTTTCAACTCTTCTTCTAATTCTTCATCATCATCCTTCTGAACTTCCACTTTTGTCTTCTTCGTTTTACGTTTTCGCGGCATATTTAAAGTCAAACTAGATAATTATGATTTTATAGGCTGTTGTGGAGATAATTTCGAGCGATTGTGAAATTACAACAAGTGATATCAAGTTAAAAATGAATGAAGAAAAGAAAAATAGATGATATTTTAAATGATGATATTTTTTATGATTTTTTAAACAGAAACTGGAATTAGAAACTCGTATAATCTTCTTGTGTCACTGTAGGATTTAGAATTCTATGGATCCATAATACTGATGTCGAATAAATAATATTAATGGTAAACTTTGCAATTAATAACTTTTCTGTTGTAGATGTTGACTATTCATACGGCGTTATTACAATTTTAATGTTGAAATGTCCTTACTAGAGTTTGAACTAGTTTTTTTTTCAAGAAAATGTATTCACACAGTTTTTAACATTGGTTCAACTACTGTCTATCCAATGAAATAGTCAAAAACTAGTAAAAACTTATATTAGATGAAACAATATTAGATTTTGGGCTATTTTAGTGAAATTTAAAACCGATTAAGTTAAAACCGATCCAGATTACTTCAGAATTTTAACGAATACTCCAATTTATCTATAATATACGTTGACTTTCAACAAAAGTTTTAAAAACCAGTGGAAAGTACTTTGGTTTTTTAAAAATGTTTTTCAGACATCTTTGGAAGTAAGAGCATGTTCTTTTTGAAATTTTAACTGAGGTCGGATTGAGTAGACAAGATCTGGAGTAGTTTAAATCGATTTTGAGTGGATTATGAATTTCTTGATTTTTAATGAAAATGTCAACAAAGTTAAGTTATTTCATCTACTATAGATTTTCATTAAGTTTCTGAATTTTCTTCTAAAAACATTGCCATGTGATAGAACATGGTCGAAAACCTACGTTTCCATGTGTTTAGCAGATTTCTAAACAGAAGCGTCAGAGTATTCTAGGATTCCAAGAGAAATCTGGCCTCACCATGATAAGTGGAAACTTCTTTCTCTCGTGAATTTGTAGAGGACACCCTGGGCTACCATTTGTATATTTCAGACATAGGAGGCGCTATAAGACATAAATCCTTGGTAATCCATTTTTTCAAAGACTTGTCAGGTACACCAACTGCAAGTGGCAAATTCAACTTTCTTTTTCCATACATTTATTCGGTTACCTTTTGACTACACAGTAGCGAAAACTGTGAGTCTCTATCTCTTTTCATTCAAACGTTATTTAAAAGACATCCGCGATCGCTCTATTTTGTCATGGATAGCAATATCAGCGAAATGAATTTTCTACAAATATGTATTTTACCATATATTCATCACATAGCGTATAGCATTTTACAGTTTATTTCTCATGATGAATCGTTTGATTCGAAAGCTCAAATTTAACTAAATAAAAATGAATATAACTGCAAATTATAACTCAATCACAAGTTTCCTTTCAATCTCATATATTAAACTAATATTATTAATCAAACATATTCCTTGTCATTTGCAGTATTAATATTCGATCATAAAATTAAAAATATAATGTTAACCATCTCATTTAACTTGTGATTAAAAGATTAGAATAGTTTAAATAATAAATACATAACATGAATTAAGTTTACTATCATCTTTTGTGATTTAATTCAAAATATATTTTTTAGCTTGTACACAAATGAAAATAAAACAAATTTGTAAAATTTTATTATTTATTTTTCTTTTATCATTTGGTTTAGTACTCGTATTTACGCATATTTTAATACAAACAGAAATGAAAGAGAAAAAGAGTCAAATATTTGTTTATATATAAGAAATTAAGTAACTTTTTGAATTACAGAAAACAAAATAAATAATGAAAACAAAAAACTATAATAAGAACTATAGAGTTAGTCCATTAGAATTTTTCACTGGAAAAGAAACAAGTGAAAAACATTGAGTATCTATTTGCAAAAAAACAAAACAATGATGAGAGTATATTTTTTGATGGAATGACATAGAAGATTGGACAATGACACAAGGACGAAAAAAAGAACGAACAACAATAAGAACAACATGAATATTGCGTTGCATATATGGAATTAGATTAAATAATATTGCTAAATAATTATAGTTCACGAAAACTAGAAAAATAGTAAAAATTAAACCTTCTCAATACAATTAATATAATAATTTCTCTATGAATTACTCTTTTATCACTCGCCAATAGCCAAAAACCAATACGAAACATGTTACCTTAGAAAACAAAGTTAAAATAACTAAAATCAATAAATTCACTCATGAATAATTCTAACATATATATATATTTCTATAATTGATGAGAAATAAGACAATAAAAAAGAAAATGCGAGTATTATGATGATTATTTTTTTAGAAAAAAGAGCTAGCAAATAGACTAAAAACACATTTTGGAAGAAAAATAACAGTGAACAGAAAATATGATGTCTGAACGCGTCTGAGAATACGAGAGACTAGATATATATTTCGTAAACAAATTGTTAATATGAGTATTGTCCGTAACAATGTGTATGAGTATGTAAATGAATATAATAAGAAATACAAATAAACCAGTATTATTAAAAATTAGATAAAGAGAGAAAAAGAGATAATAATTATTAAGTCGATTGTATTCTTACAGGATCGGATGAAGATGAGTACAATGATGATTTTGATCCAACTAAATAATAATTATTGTCATTTGAACTAAAACGTAATACGCCATGATAGAGACCCATGGGATTTGTTGTTTCATGATAAAATAAACCAAAACAACGTGTTATTAAAGATAAATTAGAATAATCAGTTGAACTAGACTGATTATAAATATATTTAAACGTCTGAGAACTAAATGAAAATAAAAAATGAAAATAATAATAGATAAATATTAATTTTAATCAACTTACGTATTGTAAACTGATATATCAATTTTGAATAATGTATCACATTTAGTTGGTAATTTTAATAATATTGCACTGGCTATAGATTTTGATAATGTTGCATCATACGTTTCTTTACGTAATGTATCAACATTTGTTAATCCGGGAAATGGATTTCTAAAAATATATTAAACAGAAATTAGTCAAGGAGAAATATATCGAATTAGACAATTCAAAAGTTCTGTCATATCTAAAAAGGATTCGATTAGTTAAGATCTAAAAATTTCCTACACACTCTCATATCATCGTTAGAAAGGTTAACCTCTGACTGACAAGAATCTATTATCAAAATATCTCCAAGTCTTTTTCTTTCAGAAAAAATTAAGCTTTTCTCATCAAGATGCCCATCTAGACAACAACAAAAAAAAACGAACTCCTTTAATGAAATGTTTTTAATGTAACACATCCGAACAACAATCAATAATTACTGCTATTTTATAACGAAAGTGTCCTGAATCCATTAATTAAATCCTTTTATACAAATATCTTTTACTTTTCGAATTATAGCCGTTTTACTGAATCTGTGCCTGTTTGAGCGGCTTGATCATAAAAGCTCAATTTTTTCTGAAAGGAATGCAGAACGAGGAATTTGGAGATATTCGAATGAGAGATTCTTCTCCACCAGAGTGTAATCTTTCTAACGATTATATAGGACTATGTAGAAAACTCTTAAATCTTAACTGATCGAGTCCTTCTTGAAAGTAGCAGAACTTTTTGACGGCTCTAAGTATGAAAAGTAATACATACAAGCTTGTTTTCCGTTTTCTATTAAATAATCTTGCTAAATATTTCATATTATCATGATTGCCGTCAACAGGACGACGAAATACACGAGATATATCAGGTATTAGAAATGAATGAGAATTATCATCAAATTTCCAACGATCCCAAACACTAAGATAAAACAAAAAGAAAAAATTAGTTTAACATCTACAATTTTCTATTAGTAAGTTAAATTACCGTTTCGAACAACATTCACTGAATGTTTTCATGTGTGTATCATAAAACGATCGTCGAAGCAAATAACCTAGACCATAAAGTTCATCTACACGATATATCAAATTCGATGAACCGTCAACATCTTCGTAAGCTAAAATAAAATCATTATTTATAGTACAATTTTACAACTAGTCTGAATTAATCTAAGAATATTTCCACATGAATTATATCATTCGAAATAACAATATCAAAAAAAGATATTCTTAAAAACATTTTAATAATAATTAATTGAATTTTATACGAAAAATGTTTTGAATTCATCAGTTAAATATGACAGTTTTTCATCTTTGCTATAGACGTACACAGAAATCTTTTATGTATATATTGTTTAATAATATTTAATTTTATTTGATTCTTAATTTTTTAAAATATTTTTCGCTGAATGAAGATTCAACTGATGAATTGAAAAAAATAAAATAGTCACTACGAAGCAAACGTATTAAAGTGATTATAGTTTTTGTAACAAATTGTGAAAATAATTGTTTAGACTCTTACAATTTGGGTTCCACATGGCTATTCCACCGATTGTTTCATCTTTTCTAAACGGTTCACTTAATAATGCAAGTGTATAAAGAAAATCGGGCGATAATATGAGATCTTCTTCGATAACAATTATTTTATCCTTTATAAATAAAAAATAAGATCAACATGAAATCTCTAATGAAACAGAAATAAGAAAAACATTTACCTTTGTTGGATGAAGTTCCCAAACTTTTTTCAATGCTTTTTCATAATGTTCTAGAAAAAAAAAAGGAAAATTTACAAACAAAAAAGCAAAAAAAAAGGAGAAATGTTTATCATACCCATATATACGTTGCTACTTGGAATTTTTTCACCATGAAAACCAAATAAATCAATTAATGCCAATGATTCAATAAATTTTTCATCAACAGCCACCTTAATAAGTAAAAGAAACATTAAATAAGAGCGAGAAGAGATCCTATTAGACATACTATAACATTTTGTAAGTTAACACCAGGTTGCATTAATACTGTTTCAAGACACATACGTAGAGAATTATGAGATATACCTAGAAAAGAAATAGAAATATTAATGTATAGATATACTTTTTGAAATAAATATTATCTTACCAGCAATAATCAATATTGGTGTAGAATATATTGGATTATCTTCTAATGTTTTATTTAATAGTGCAACAGGTGATAAACTTTTATCGACATTCATATCTAAATTGAAAAATAGTTTTTTGTTTTTTTTATGCACGAAATTATATCAAAGACAGTAACCTATACAGTGTGAGATTTAACTTAAACGCTAAATTTAGCTTAAAGTTCTCTCTTCATCAATTAGAAATCTACTTCGGTAACTAAGAGTTCGATCTGAACCAAACTGTGAGAGAACATTGATCATGTCACAATATAATAACGAAATATTTTGGCTCCATCTGTTTTTCGTTCGCGAGATGTTCCCATAAGAAGAATCAAAATGAAGCGGTGAAAGTTTCCCAAAATTGTCATTCACTGTTAAGCATGTACTGGTTATAATCGATTGAAACTGTGCGCTTTTTTCACAAAAAAATTTTTCTCAACGAAAATTGATTCTCTAAATTTTTTCTAACAACTGAGTTTTGTAGAGCAAACATTTTTCTACAAGATAAGCTATGGGAGTATTCCTTGTCTTGATCCAGTTGCTTACAAAAAAATATATTTTTAAAAGTCCCATGATCGATTATAACCGATTTGGAGCTCTTCGCTGAAAAGCGATTGCAGCAGAAATAGAAAACATGAAGGCTCCGATAAAGCACAGCTTGTAGAAAAATATTTTCTACTACTACAATTTTATATTTTCTATTACTACAAAACCCAGTTGTTAGAAAAATTTGAATATGCGTACTTTTCATGCAGTCCGTTTCAGAAAAAAGGTGAAATTTATCGATTATAAAGGGTGGCCCAGAAGTCCTGACCCGACTTGTATAATAATTTTTCTAAAGTAAAACACATGTTTGTAAATTTCTCTCTATGATGAAAAGACGCAGTAAAACACGCTCTACAAAATGACTTTTGATTGACCCCGCTAGCTCATATAGTAAGAAAGTTATATAGACGTAGAAATGTGCTTCACAAAAAAGAAAAACTAACGGTGAACCCGATCTCGCTATTTTTGCTTGAACTCCTGTTTCTTAGGTCCCCTAGAACAAATTATTTTTTTAACATAAGCGCCGTGCAATGCTCTTTGCATTGCATTTTTTTCGACTCAAACTTTTTCTTCTCCTATTATTTCCGTAAAAAGGCTTACGAGGAAGCCGCCCCAGGTGCCCAACTCTGATTTCCTTCATTCATACCTCGTTTTATAGAGCACATCGAGCTGGTAAAAAGCCTAAAAGGATTTTTGCGCACGGCTCTTGAAGTCTCAGTTTTCTGCAAAACCAGTTTTTGAAAAATTCTAAAAAATAATCAAAATCTTTCATAGTGGTGGATAATTATAGCCTGCACATTTCTGATTAAAATGAGACGTCTCCCAGCTCTACACGACCTTTCTTTACAAAGTTACAGAATTTACAAGAAAAGCCCTAAATGTTCATTGTCAGCTCAAAGCTGTAGAAATAAGAAGAAATTAATTTAGGACTTTTGTTGTAAATTCTATAACTTTGCAAAGAAAAATCATGTAGAGCTGGAAGACGTCTCATTTTAATCAGAAATGTGCGGGCTATAATTATGCCTCATTA